CATTTACAACAGGAAACAATGATCCAAATACATATTTATTTGTTTGGACCCTGTCTTCTTGTGTACATAAACACTACCTTTAATGCCTAAGTATGTCCAATGTATTTCATTACGTTTTGAATAAGTGTGAATAATCCTGCTATTTGCACCACTTCAAACCACATGGAAACAGTTAAGGCATGTGTCCATTAATTTAAGATATGAATAAAACTGATCACATAAAATATATTTATTCTTTGATATAAAGAATACATGGACTAATTAATTTTATGGGCATCCATTCCCAACATTTGGCATAGAAAGACATAGATGCATATGCCAATATAGTTTTTCATAAGTGATGTCGCCTATGAACATTATTTCATGCAGTGTATTTTGTTCTGTTTTCTGCTGCAATACTGAATTTTTAAGGTCGTGTCCATGAGATGCTACCACATTTAAAGACTGCAAAAATGTGATCACGTGTAAAATATATGCTAAACATACTTCACTTTAAACGTGCTTATGATTTGAAAAAGTCCCCAAATTATCAAAGTCTTTGCATTGTTTGTTTACTTTGTAAAAGTTCTAAATCAGATTTTATTTTAAAAAATAGAACCGTGTAGAAGTATTCTTTAAGTGCTAAGCGCCAGCAGAGCTCATTTTTTGTATCTTAAAATAGTTTCAATTAAAAATCAAATAAAATAAAATTAACTGAAAGGTATAGTTTCTTTTGCCCCTCACTCTATAGTTCCTGACACTTGAAAGATTATTCCACAAAAACAAAATCCTAAATACATGAAGAACCTATGTAACATTTATAAGTTCTGATAACCTTGATGCTACAGTAAACCAGAGACCATAGTAAACCTAAGAAGACACCACTGTGCAACACGAGCTTCAGTGTGAGGCAGGACCGGAAGTAGAAACTCTCAGATGTGAAGCTGCTGAAAGCGTTCATCCATCCAACTTCCCCACAAGACCGACGTTGCTCAACCTCACCTGATATGTGACCTGTGCGCTTTGCACATGACGACGTTCCACCATCTGCCATCCACGTGTCATTCCGTCAAAGTTCTAGGCCTTGTTAAACAACTTCTATATTATAAATGTGTTGTGTGCGCCCAGGGTAAACACGAGCAGCCTGGATAAACAACTTTATTTAATTTACCCCTTGTTGATAGAACAATATATATGTCAAGTGCTTGGGAAATACAACCCGAACCCCTTATCACAATGCTGCAATTTGGTCCTGCTAATGATTCGGCTGTGAGGTGAGGTGAAATTGGGTTTAACGTCGCGTCCAAGATTATTGCACTTATATAGCGACGTGCATGCACGTGTATGTGTGTGTGTGGCTGCTTGTACTAGTCCGGACTGATGCCGATTTATAGTGCTAGCTCACTGAGATACCATGCCGCAGTTTAACATGAATACCCCACTCAGACACAGTATACTGACTCCGAGCCGACCAGTCCTTGTTTTAGCCCCTTAATGCCGAGCGCCAGACAGGGTAACAACAAGTACAATTTCTTTAACGTCTTTTTGTATGACGCGGCCCGGGATCGAACCCTGGACCTTCCGCTCTCCGGGCGGACGCTCTACCACAAGACCACGGAGGATTCGGCTGTGAAGTTGATTACTGTATAAATCATTACTGTTTGAAGCATACGTCGTGACCACGTGTTGTTAACGTGAGTGACCATGTGGTTGGTTTGTCACGCGTAGGGCCCAGGTTTAATTCCCCATTTAGTAAAACACTCCAGAGTGATCTCCGTCTGGGTCCTAGTCACTCTTGAGTGATCTAAGTCTTGGCTGAAGTCACTCTACAGTGACCTCTGCCTAGGCCCAAGTCACTCTACAGTGATCTCAGCCTGAGCCAAGTCACTCTACAGTGATCCCAGCTTGAGCCAAGTCACTCTACAGTGACATCTGTCTTGGCCCAAGACACTCTACAGTGATCTAAGCCTGAGCCAAGTCACTCTACAATGATCGCAGCCTGAGCCAAATCACTCTACAGTGATCCCAGCTTAAGCCAAGTCACTCTACAGTGACCCCAACCTGAGCCAAGTCACTCTACAGTGACCTGTCTAGGCCCAAGTCACTCTACAGTGATCTCAGCCTGAGCCATGTCACTCTACAGTGATCCCAGCTTGAGCCAAGTCACTCTTCAGTGACCTCTGCCTAGGCCCAATACACTCTACAGTGATCTCAGCCTGAGCCAAGTCACTCTACAATGATCTCAGCCTGAGCCAAGCCACTCTACAGTGATCCCAGCTTGAGCCAAGTCACTCTACAGTGACCCCAGCCTGAGCCAAGTCACTCTACAGTGACCTGTCTAGGCCCAAGTCACTCTACAGTGATCTCAGCCTGAGCCATGTCACTCTACAGTGATCTCAGCCTTATCCAAGTCACTCTACAGTGATCCAAGCTTTAGCCAAGTCACTCTACAGTGATCTCAGCCTGAGCCATATCACTCTACAGTGATCCCAGCTTGAGCCAAGTCACTCTACAGTGACCTCTGCCTAGGCCCAAGTCACTCTACAGTGACCTCTGCCTAGGCCCAAGTCACTCTACAGTGATCTCAGCCTGAGCCAAGTCACTTTACAGTGATGTCAGCCTGCGCCAAGTCACTCTACAGTGATCCCAGCTTGAGCCAAGTCACTCTACAGTGACCTCTGCCTAGGCCCAAGTCACTCTACAGTGATCCCAGCCTGAGCCAAGTCACTCTAGAGTGATCACAACCTGATCCAAGTCACTCTACAGTGATCCCAGCTTGAGCCAAGTCACTCTACAGTGATCACAGCCTGATCCAAGTCACTCTACAGTGATCTCAGCCTGATCCAAGGCACTCTACAGTGATCTCAGCCTGATCCAAGTCACTCTACAGTGATCCCAGCTTGAGCCAAATCACTCTACAGTGATCTCAGCCTGAGCCAAGCCACTCTACAGTGATCCCAGCTTGAGCCAAGTCACTCTACAGTGATCTCAGCCTGATCCAAGGCACTCTACAGTGATCTCAGCCTGATCCAAGTCACTCTACAGTGATCCCAGCTTGAGCCAAATCACTCTACAGTGATCCCAGCTTGAGCCAAGCCACTCTACAGTGATCTCAGTCTGAGCCAAATCACTCTACAGTGATCTCAGTCTGAGCCAAATCACTCTACAGTGATCTCAGCCTGAGTCTCTCTACAGTTGGAAGCAAACAAGTAGGAAAATAATTCTAAGAATAATCACCTCTAAGTTATATTCCAATAGTCTAGGCAGTTCACAACAAGGTTGTGAGACGAGGTGAAGATTACTGCACTTATAAAGCGACGTGCATGCACGTGTGTGTGCGTGTGGCTGCTTGCACTGGTCCGGACTAATGCCGATTTTATAGTGCTAGTCCACTGAGATACCATACACCAGTTTAACATGAAAACCCCAATCAGACACAGTATACACACTCCGAGCTGACCAGTCCTTGTTATGGCGCCATAATGCCGAGCGCCAGACAGGGTAACACTATGTACTATCTTTTAATGTTTTTTGATATGACGCGGCCGGGGAACTGGAGATACAGGAGTTAAGGGTCCTTCAGATATGCTTCCATTGTCAGCTGCCATTATGACAGAAATACTATCTGTCATACAGCAACTAAACATTTCTGAAAATAACACTTTTTAAACGTCGCCGGGATACGAACCTGTAACCTCCCTGTGTATAGTCCATCACTCTACCAACTGTGCTACTGAGACTGTTGCTAGATTTCCTGGTCACCACTAGGTTAGTACGGTTTATTTGTAAATTGTTATGTTAATATTGTACCAACTTCGTTGTAAATCCTGTGGTATATTCGTTATGCAAGTGCCCGTGAATTTGATTTGCGCATGTAATATCAATGTAGATCATAGATCTTATCCATATTTGACTTAATGCCCAATGATATGCATTTTGTATTAAACATGTTTACCTTCTACACATTGTTATTTTGCAGTGTAATTTATTGTTAAACAATAATTGTTACAGTGTTACGTTGTTTCTGTTGAGATTCAGTAGAAGTTCATTGCATTATATTTGGACAATAATTAGTTGTCAGGAATGTGGTACTATTTAATGTAAGCAATGGTGAGGAAGTTATATTTAGATGCTCGAATTATCTGTAAATTTCCGGAATAGCATGGATGGGTGTCAAGCCTTATAGAAACATTTGGAATAGTCTGTGATGTTCTAGTGACATTGGACCGGTGAAGCACTGTGTGAAATGTGCTAGAAGCTAGTTAGACTATAGAAATGGAGCGGGCGCGTGCCTGTCATCTCACATTTCATCTCACCTTTTATCTCACATTTCATCTCATCAAGACCAGCTTTCATGTGAAGATCACTTTTCACCCTGGTGTCCAGCCTAGGCCTGTCTCGGAAGCTTGACCATAGGTGAATATCATTATCACTGATCGTTTTGATATCACCACTATCATCATAATTTGTTGTTTGATATTGCCATTGACACTCTATTGCATACTGCCATTGTAATTACTATGCAGTGATTTGTATTGATTTGTAAACCTAGTTAATTGTGTGATACAATTGTTGATTGTGTACCATTTGTTGGTTGTTGGTTTTACGTACGATCAACATATTGTTTTAATTGGGGAATCAATAATGTTAAATATGTTTAGATTATGGGGATGTTGTTTTTAGGCCGGGAGACGACAGCTCAATTTATGTGTTTAGACCCAAAATGGGTTTAGATAGAAAACACCAAATGTCTGTTCCTTGTTGATCTAAACATGTCTTGTATGTGTTTGCATTCTAAACACATTTTGTTACACTTTAATGCAGCATGATCTCCAGTTACCGAGGTTTACAGTAAACTACGGTTATAACGAACTCAAAGGGTAATAACCGTAGTTCGTTATAAGCATATATACAGCATATATGCAACAAATGGCCGGTGCTAAAAAATAAGTTCGTTATATCGGTCGGTTCGTTATAAGCGTGTTCGTTATAAATGTAGTTTACTGTATATTCACTGCATAATCACCGGACGGATTTTCACAAGGTGCGGAACTTCACAGAGCAAAAGCAACCAGCTGGCGCTATTTACAATCTTGTATTATTATCATGAGTATTGACATAACTACACTTTTAATAGCAGCACATGGATAAACAAGACCGACACAGCGTTCATAGGTAAGCACTGTACGTTAAGTGGGTTTTTGTGTAAATAGTAAATATTTACATTTTTTCTTGTGTTGAACCCTTGTGTGAGAAGGTGCTACTATAGACACAAAATGAAGACAGTTGAAAGCGACACCTGAGAACCTGCCACATACTCAAGGTTTAGCCACGTTGTGTATTTATTGATTGATTATCGTTCAGCCAGCTCTCGTGATCTCTTGCTGCAGTTGATCCTGAGATGTATCCAACGAAGATTAACTCTGTCTATACACATATTTATCTATCTATTAATTATTCTGTATTTCAATTCTTCTATGCAATGATGTCTAATTGCATCTATGTATAAATGTATCTATCTATATCCATCCATCCATTCATCCTTTTTTCTATTTATCTATATATATTCTGTATATCCCTATTTTGAAACATTACATATTTCATAAAATTAGTGAAATAGTTAATTAATTATAAGACATCCCTGCCTGACTGCCATCGAATTATACCAGGACGGCGGAGTGTAGAAAATCCTGGTACAAATCCGAAAATTGCTAGAATCGTCGTGAAACAATGTCGGCTAACACTCACCAACAATGTTGTCAATATTTTAAAATGTTTCTTTGTTAAGTGGTTGTTTAACTCAGAAATATTAATTCCATCTATATGACAGCGGTATGCAAATATTCGAGTCTAGACCAGACAATCCGATGATTATACGCAACTGGGATACGATGACATGCATCAACCAAGTCAGCAAGCCTGACCATTCGATCCGTTAGTCGCATGTTACAACAATTTGGAAATGTGACTCGTTATTAAACCATATATGATTGTAGTGCCGTTTTTCCCATCTCCTACTTTGCATAAATTTACAGCACACTTTGTGGGGGAACATATGCCGCTGTTTGTGTCGATCAAACCATGCTGTATTCAAACATATCGATTTGGAGCACAAACACACATTCATGGATCAATTGTTCGAGTAAGCCCCGCCCAGCGCCTCAACGACTGCTGCCAGCCTGACACTGAGCAGGCGACGGGAGACGAAACGTCATTAAATCTCATGAAGCAATTCGATCTATGAATACAGTTTTAGTTTCATTGACATGAACACGTACATGTGTAAATACAACATGAGGCGAGGAAAATTGCGTTAAAGATGTGTCAATCACATATCGACATGCATACACGTGAATGTGTGGCTGCTTGTACAAGTCCGAAATTATGCCGGTTTTATAATCCACTGAGATGTTTAAGATGGATAACCAACTCTGACACATTATACGTTCGCTGAGAAGTGCCAGTCCTTGTTTTGTCCCCTTAATACTGAGCGCCGGGCAGGGTAACAACAAGTAACATCTTTTGGTATTTCGCGGCCAAATTACATGTTTACTCTGTGACTGTTTTCGTTTACAATCAACGTCTCGAGAACATTTACTGAACGAAAGCCTCCTAAAGATTCTCGATTAATCGGTGTTTTGCTTCTTCATACTATAATGATAACAACCTTCCTTATCCCAATGTTTAACCTTCCCTATCCCCATGTTTAACCCTATCCCCGTGTTTAACCTTCCTTATCCCCATGTTGCCATCTGGTTACCATCTGGTTCGATCCCGTCGTGGGCGTTTAACCACCTACACCTACTAGATTTTCTATGGGGGAAAGGTCTGGAGAAACAGCCGGCCATGGCAGTACATCTATGTTATGCTGTCTCAATAAATCTGTTACAACACGTGCAACATGCTGACTGGCAATATCCTACTGTAATGTGACGTTACGTCCCTGCATTTTCACAAATGGTAGAACATGATCTCGAGCGTACGCCATTCAAATTTGCCATGAGTTGTGATACCCATACCATGACACTGCCACCCTCAAAGTGAAGGAATTTGAATAAAGCAAACGCCGCACTTCTTCTTCTAAACGCCTGTTGACCCTTGCACGGACATCAAAGATGTCCAGGTGAAAGCTTTAAATAAGTATATAGTATATAGTATACTGCACCAACTGAATATGGTTGTCTTTTGACGTGACGTCACACTTGTATGACCGGCCCGTGGCATGTAATGAGTGTTGCTCTGCTGTAGATAACGTCTCCAAAGAGATGATATTGAGTTTCAATGAACTTTAAAATGTCCATCTTCCCGAGGCCACGGCTTTAACTGACTATAAAAGAAACCGGACTTCCATTGTCAGTTTCCGCCCTTGCCTCGGGAAGATGTAAAATGTATGGCAACTTCGTTTGGGCGATTTCCGTTTGCTTAGCCACGGTGCGTAGGCGTTGAATTTCAGAGCGTGAGCGTTATTTAAGGTTAAACAAAAGTGTTTTTATGAGCCCCCAATATTAAACGATCACTGTGTGCTGTTCACATTAGAAATCCACATGACACTATTGTTCATGCTCCTAACAAACACGCAAACATCGAATTTGTGCGTCAACGTTAACCTGCACGAGCAAAATATGAATCACGACCTTAAAGTCGAAGAGATTTCTTATGAATATGGAATGGGTTTTGTCTCTTTTATTTTCATGAATATGTATTGACAGATGCATTACTTAGTTTCGGAATATGTTTATTTCTATTGAACTTTATATGAAGCACAGGTACTTATTTTCGTTTGAGTACATTCTTCTTTAAAAACATCTCAAGAAAATATACTTATATATCTTATTATTGCTATCTTATTGATTTTACCCTGTCATTCTACAATGTTGTCTCCAATTCTAATCTCCTATTGTTCATAGTTTCCCATTCTACTCAGTTTATATTCTCCAATTCTAAAGACAGACATTTTAGAGTCAGAAATAAGTTATCTTATTCCAAAATATAAATCCGCAATAATAATAATTTCAGCTGAGACAATCTGGACTTGCCAAATCATTCTAGACTTGAGTTTCTTGACACTTTTTAAAATCTATTCTCAAGGATCCTGGAGACAGACTACCCATTCTACTATCTTATTGTTTATACTCTGCCATTCTACTATCTTAGTGTTTATACTCTGCCATTCTACTATCTTAGTGTTTATACTCTGCCATTCTACTATCTTAGTGTTTATACTCTGCCATTCTACTATCTTAGTGTTTATACTCTGCCATTCTACTATCTTAGTGTTTATACTCTGCCATTCTACTATCTTAGTGTTTATACTCTGCCATTCTACTATCTTAGTGTTTATACTCTGCCATTCTACTATCTTAGTGTTTATACTCTGCCATTCTACTATCTTATTGCTTGTACTCACCCGTTCTATTATCTTATTGTTTATACCATCTCATTCTACTATCTTGTTATCTACACGCTCTCATTCTATGTTATTGTTTATACTCTGCCTTTCTATCTTATTGGTTTTACTGTCCCATTCTACTATATTATTGTTTATACTCAACCATTCTAGTATCTAATTGTCTATACTCACCCATTCTACTATCCTATTGTTTATACTCTGCCGTTCTACTATCATACTGCAAGTACTATACCATTCTACAGTGAAAACACTTTCCTACAGTGAAAACACCGTGAAGATCCGGGTTAGTATTGGTCTTCTGCAACCCATGCTTGTCTTCAGAGGTGACTAACGGGATCGCTGACTTGGTTTATGCATGGCTTCGTATTGGAATTGCGTAGATCGATGCTCTTTCTGTCAATCACTGGATTATCTGACCCGGACTCCATTAACATCACACCGCCGTCAAATAGCTTGAATATTGCTGAGTACGCGCGTTAAACAACCAACCAGCCAACCAACCAAACAAACAAATCCTACTTTAGGTACTCCACAATTCTTATCGTATGTACGCTAATAGTATACCATGATATTGCAAATATTATATCATGATAATGCCTGCCCTCTACTAATATACATATGTTCTTTTCTAGCACATTGCAAAGGTTTTACCCTAATATTGTGTATACTCACACATCATACCACTAGTATACCACCAGATACTCTACATATCTGATGAAGCCCATTTCTGGTGTCCCCCGCCGTGATATTGCTGGAATATTGCTAAAAGCGGCGTAAAACCATACTCACTCACTCACTCACTTACTACATCTATGACACTCCGATAGTTGAGTTAATGATGTCTTTTGAATTGCAGATACGATGAGATTGACTCCGAAGCGATTCCTGACTGTGTTCTGCTGCGGCACGTTCCTCTACATCCTGCGATACATCGTCACTGTGTATCATATGACGTCATCGGGGACCAGTTCAAGAGGGCAGTCAGTGTCACCATTCTGCATTGAAGCCAACATCTGTAAAAACAAAAGACAAATAACAGATATTTACTACTACAAACGAACGAATTTTGATGAACTTGTTGAAAGGCCTGTCAGTCTAAACGCCACAGTGGACCATGCTGTTCCCGTTGTACCGAGAATAGTACATTTCTGTCTTTTCACCAATGGTAACGTTACGTTTCGTTTCCATTACATGATAGCAGTCCTTGCCGCGTCTCGTATCGCGAAGCCAGAGAAGATTTACTTCTGGCATGACAGCCTCCCGGTTGGTGAATACTGGGAAGAGACGAGACAGAAGGTGAAGAATCTGTACCTGGTCCACAGAGACAGGCCCACCAAGATCAGAGGAAATGACGTCAGAGTCATAGAACACGTCGCTGACATTGTGAGACTCGAAGCACTGCTGGAATATGGAGGGATGTATTTCGACACAGATTCTATAGTCGTCAACCCAATTGACCCTCTCTTAGTCCATGACGTCACAATGGGCCATGCGGTACCATGGGTTTTAGCCAATGGAATAATGTTTTCTAAACCATGGTCGGACTTCTTCCGAATATGGCACAAAGAGTATGCAGTATTTGATGATAGCGTCTGGGCGGAACACTCTGTTATGAAGCCGTATAAATTATCACAGCAATACCCAAACTTGATTCACATTGAACCAACATCTCTCTGTCGTCCGAATTATTTAGAACTTGACTACCTGTTTGGTCATTTGAGATGGGAGTGGGAGAAAAACAACTTCGTGGTGCATCTGTACATGAGGTTTGGTCCAAGGGGGAGGAAAGAACGAAACCGTGAGAATATAAAGACGTGGAACACAACGGTGGGGAGTATTATGAGGTACATATACTATGGGGATGCTGAGTTAATTACAGTCTCTGGAAAGACCTGATGCCTTTTTGCGGATTTCATTGATCTTTGATGGTCACAACGATCACTGTTTTGAGATGTTATGAGGTACCGTTGATATTAGTGAACATTGCCATCTGTGTTATCATGGAAAGGTTAATACTGTCTCGATTGGATGCAAGATGGCTGCGTATTCACTCACTCACACTCACACTCACACTCACACTCACACTCACACCCACACTCACTCATGTGTCAAGCTCATTTTAAGGTGTTCCTCATAGTGATATTGTTGGAATACTGGCACTAATACAACAGAAATATCTGAAAACCCTACCTCTTCAACTTGATCATTGTTAAGTAGCTATTGACCCCTGCTTTGCTAAAATATAAACTTGACGTTATTTTGTAAACTAACATGGGATTACGAAAATAAAGCACATTGGTCAGTTGAAGTAAGTAAGGGTCAAAAGGTGTTTGGACATGAATATAAATGGGTTACTACACATGTTTTATATTGACGTACTTACAACTTGAATAGGAAAACAGCCTCGGTGTGCAGGTAAAAGGCCGCTTCACTCGATTTGTATCCCCCCATTTATGAAATTCCAACTGTTTCCATACTTTGAGGCTCTCCCAAGTGTTTTAAGTCTTTGGGGTTGGCAATATAAATGTGCTTCTATATGGCTATATATGGTTATATACGGTTATATATGAAACAATTAATGTGTGTCAAAATATCTATGAGTAATTTATTTTTAACGTCACTATTGTTGATATATACGCCCAACAGTGGACTTGTTAATTGTTAATTCATCAAGTAAATGTTCCTATATTATTAGTTGCCTTGTTATATCAACCATTTTTATATACTGGATGTTTTATATATATATATATGTAACTTTGAGAAAGCTTCGAACATCTTCATCACAAATGAGATGCAGTTCACGACTGACCTATGGGGGCAGATTTAGGGGCAATTTAGTTTCAGTGGACGAAGAATATCACTTTTTATCAGTGTGTACGAGACATAACAACTTGAGTAAAACACCTAAAATCGTACCATTTTGTTCACCCAGATATGATTTCTTACTTGGATGAAATCAGTACATACAAATATCGTTCGTTACTTATCAATGTATATTTATCATGCTATGTCAATTAGAAAGTGTGGCATCTCCGGAAATACATTGTAATATATACTGAAGAAAAAAAAGTTATAATGAATTTTTGTTGATAGTTTTATGAAATTGTGTATTCCCAAAAAGGTCAAGACAGGTAACGTTTTGTGTTTAGTATATATCCTATGGGTCTGTGCCTTTTCCGCATTGAAAATATAGACCATGTTATGTTGGTAATAACTTTCAGAAGGCGGTAGTTTGTATATGAAGCGTGATTGGTTGGTTGGTTTGTTGTTTAACGCCGCGCTAAGCAGTATTCAAGCTACATGACGGCGGTCTGTAAGTAATCGAGTATGGACCAGACAATCCAGTGATTGATATAATGAGCATCGATCCACGCAATTAGGATACGATGACATGCATCAACCAAGTCAGCGAGCCTTGACCACCCGATCCCGTTAGTCGCCTTTTACGACAAGCATAGTCACCTTTTACGGTAAGCATGGGTTGCTGAAGATCTATTCTACCCCGGAATCTTCACGGGCTTTGAAGCGTGAAGGTATTTAATAATATCTGTTGTCCACAGTGAGAATGTTCCATGTCATGCATATTTGCTGAGGGGAATTGAGGAATTTCCCGCAACATAATTACAATCAAGATAGAATAAGAAGCATGGACATGGTTATATCTGCAGGCGTGTTTAATTACTGCAGGAACACGTCACGCACGTTTATCAGTATATGTTACATCAGCTGCCATACAGCCATTCCAGACAAGCGCCAGTAGACTTTTCTGCTTACAAATGTGTCAAGTCAATGTCGGGGCGTCCTTTATTTTGATATTGCTGGAATACTTCTACTGCAGACTGTGAAGGCCCTACCTCCTCCAGTAATGAGCATTAGGTGGCTACTAATGTTTGCGTTCATACATATGAACCTTTACACCTGTACGTATAATCATTTCAAACATCAAACTAGAAAGTGTTTTTACTCGTAAAAACATATGTCTCCCCCCACTCCCCTAACCCCCATTCATTCGTTTACTTCACGTTAAACCCCATCTGTTCATTCCCACAAAAATAATTCACAATATTTTGATTCTAGAATTGCTTTGAATTCAATAATATTGAAAAGATCAACTTCTTAAATTTCATTATAAGCAAAAGACACAGAAATATTGAAGGGGTGTTGAGTTTAGTTCTAGAACAAAGCCCATCTCAATACAGAGTCTGAGTTAAACTTGTCTCCATAAACAAGAAAAAATAAAATGTGAAAAACTTCTAAATAGCAAGAAGCTCCACTTCAGGACTTGGTTAATATGTTACAACTTCATGAAATAATATTGAACAGTTTTTGAGTTATGGTCCGGAAACCAAGCTTACCCCCATTCAGAGTCTATGTTCAAGTTATCTCCATGGAAAGGATAAAAAATAAAAATGTCAAAAATCTCTAAATAGCAAAAGGCACCACTTCAGTGCTGGGTTAATGTGTATACAAAGTTTCGCGAAAACATATTAAACGGTTTCCGAGTTATGGTCCGGAAACCAAGCTTACCCCCATTCAGAGTCTATGTTCAAGTTATCTCCATGGAAACGAGAAAAAATAAAAATGTCAAAAATCTCTAAATAGCAAAAGGCACCACTTCAGTGCTGGGTTAATGTGTATACAAAGTTTCGCGAAAACATATTAAACGGTTTCCGAGTTATGGTCCGGAAACCAAGCTTACCCCCATTCAGAGTCTATGTTCAAGTTATCTCCATGGAAACGAGAAAAAATAAAAATGTCAAAAATCTCTAAATAGCAAAAGGCACCACTTCAGTGCTGGGTTAATGTGTATACAAAGTTTCGCGAAAAAATATTAAACGGTTTCCGAGTTATGGTCCGGAAACCAAGCTTACCCCCATTCAGAGTCTATGTTCAAGTTATCTCCATGGAAACGAGAAAAAATAAAAATGTCAAAAATCTCTAAATAGCAAAAGGCACCACTTCAGTGCTGGGTTAATGTGTATACAAAGTTTCGCGAAAAAATATTAAACGGTTTCCGAGTTATGGTCCGGAAACCAAGCTTACCCCCATTCAGAGTCTATGTTCAAGTTATCTCCATGGAAACGAGAAAAAATAAAAATGTCAAAAATCTCTAAATAGCAAAAGGCACCACTTCAGTGCTGGGTTAATGTGTATACAAAGTTTCGCGAAAAAATATTAAACGGTTTCTGAGTTATGGTCCGGAAACGGTGGGAACGCCGACGCCGACGCCAACGCCGACGCCGACGGGAACCGTGCCAAAAACAATATGTCTCCCTCCATTCTGGGGGAGACATAATAAATGCGCCATGATACTGACTACCATGTTTGTTCCAACGTTTATGCGTCCATATACGTGCTGTTTGGCCGTCTACTATATCTACAGCAACGATGTGTGACGGTCAATGTCACTATATAAATATAAAATCTACCGCCACGATGTGTGACGGTCAAGGTTACTATATCTACAGTCTACCGCCACAATGTGTGACGGTCAAGGTCACTATATGTACAGTCTACAGCCACGATGTGTGACGGTCAGGGTCACTACATATATAGTCTACAGCCACGATGTGTGACGGTCAAGGTTACTATATCTACAGTGTACCGCCACGATGTGTGACGGTCAAGGTCACTATATATATATAAAGTCTACAGCCATGATGTGTGACGGTCAGGGTCACTATATATATAGTCTACCGCCACGATGTGTGACGGTCAAGGTCACTATATCTACAGTGTACCGCCATGATGTGTGACGGTCAAGGGCACTATATATATAGTCCACAGCCACGATGTGTGACGGTCAAGGTCACTATATCTACAGTCTACCGCCACGATGTGTGACGGTCAAGGGCACTATATATATAGTCTACCGCCACGATGTGTGACGGTCAAGGTCACTATATCTACAGTGTACCGCCACGATGTGTGACGGTCAAGGGCACTATATATATAGTCCACAGCCACGATGTGTGACGGTCAAGGTCACTATATCTACAGTCTACCGCCACGATGTGTGACGGTCAAGGGCACTATATATATGGTCTACAGCCACGATGTGTGACGGTCAAGGTCACTATATCTACAGTGTACCGCCACGATGTGTGACGGTCAAGGGCACTATATATATAGTCTACAGCCACGATGTGTGACGGTCAAGGTCACTATATCTACAGTGTACCGCCACGATGTGTGACGGTCAAGGGCACTATATATATAGTCCACAGCCATGATGTGTGACGGTCAAGGTCACTATATATATATAAAATCTACCGCCACGATGTGTGACGGTCAAGGTTACTATATCTACAGTCTACCGCCTCTATGTGTGACGGTCAAGGTCACTATATATATATAAAGTCTACAGCCACGATGTGTGACGGTCAGGGTTACTATATCTACAGTCTACCGCCACTATGTGTGACGGTCAAGGTCACTATATATATAGTCCACAGCCACGATGTGTGACGGTCAAGGTCACTATATGTATAGTCTACAGCCACGATGTGTGACGGTCAAGGTCACTATAAATAGTCTACCGCCACGATGTGTGACGTTCAAGGTCACTTTATATACAGTCTACCGCCAAGATGTGTGACGGTCAAGGGCACTATATATAGTCTACAGCCACGATGTGTGACGGTCAAGGTCACTATATATATAGTCCACAGCCACGATGTGTGACGGTCAAGGTCACTATATGTATAGTCTACAGCCACGATGTGTGACGGTCAAGGTCACTATATACAAAGTCTACTGCCACGATGTGTGACGGTCAATCAGCGTATATGTAAGATGTAATAACAGTGTGACAGAAGACGCGGTCCATGTTTTATTGAATTGTCCTGAGTATGATGACCTCCTGTTAAATTTTTTGCAAAATGTCTGTTATGTTATACAAATTATACAGTTAGAGCAGCTATGCGTTTTAATGTCCAGTGAAAATCTTCAAAACATCTAGCCAAAACCTGCTTTATATTTTACAACGACAGAGAAACATGTTTTATCACTGACAAATAGTGTAATAGTAACTCCATTTAGTTTGTATGTTACAATTTACTACAGTCTCCCATAATGCCATTAGGAATGGCCTAAGTATCTTAATCCAAAAGGATTTTAATGTTAGAATGGTGTGCAGCGGGGTAAGACTTAAAATAAAATATCTGTTTGTCTTCTGCGACCCGTTATCGGCGATAGAATAGACCTTCCGCAAACCCATGCTTGCTGTAAAAGGCGACTATGCTTGTCGTAAGAGGCGACTAACGGGATCGGGTGGCAGACTCGCTGACTTGGTTGATGCATGTCATCGTATCCCAATTGCGTAGATCGATGCTCATGATTTAAATCACTGGATTGTCTGGTCCAGACTCGATTATATACAGACCTCCGTAATATAGCTGGAATATTGCTCAGTGCGGCGTTAAACAACAATCAAACAAGCAAACAATCTCCATTATTATAAGTGTTAAATCTTAGCCATATTTACTGGTCTAGAAACCATCACGTGTCATTCGACAGAAATTGATACTATCATTAACTCGTTACTAAAAATAGCATCCTCGGTAACTGATGTTTTTCTCGGGTCCACGAAATATAAGTATCGAGGACATAAAAAGTCTCTATTTTTACAACATCATGCATATTGAAAAGATAATGAAAATGATCGTGACAACATGGAACGAAGTCTTACACAGAGTAAATAGTGAATAGGTGAGTTGAGTTGGGGTTAACACACACTTTGCCCAGAATTTCTATGACCTTAGGGCGTGTTAACTTGATATGGGGGAAAGCCAAGAGATGCAGGCATCAAACGTTCACCGCTTTGGAGAAACGCTTGCGCATGGGTATGGTGCTAAAAAAACAAGAAATATAATCAGGGCGGACCGGGATTCGAACCAACCATCACACGTGCCCGGCGCAACTATGCACAGTCAATCGCGACGCCTCTTTGGCACCAGTGTACAACCAAATGTTGCTGAAGAAATGCAGGTTGCTAAATGGGATATTTTACAAACGCTTCTTGTGCCTTGTGTGGAACTTCACATTAATTTGCATTTAAGACAACCTTCTGACTGGCCCCATGTTCAATCTCCTAACTGGCCCCATGTTCAACCTCCTGACTGGCCACATGTTCAACCTCCTGACTGGCCCCATGTTCATCCTCCTGACTGGCCCCATGTTCAACATCCTGACTGGCCCCATGTTCAATCTCCTGACTGGCCTGTTCAACCTCCTGACTGACCCCATGTTCAACCTCCTGACTGACCACATGTTCAACCTCCTGACTGGCCCCAAGTTCAACCTCCTGACTGGCCCCATGTTCATCTTCCTGACTGGCCCCATGTTCAACCTCCTGACTGGCCACATGTTTAACCTCCTGACTGGCCCCAAGTTCAACCTCCTGACTGGCCACATGTTCATCTTCCTGACTGGCCCCATGTTCAACCTCCTGACTGGCCACATGTTCAACCTCCTGACTGGCCCCATGTTCGACCTCCTGACTGGCCCCATGTTTGACCTCCTGACTGGCTCCATGTTCAACCTCCTGACTGGCCCCATGTTCAACCTCCTGACTGGCCCCATGTTCGACCTCCTGACTGGCCCCATGTTCGACCTCCTGACTGGCCACATGTTCAACCTCCTGACTGGCCCCATGTTCATCCTCCTGACTGACCCCATGTTCAACCTCCTGACTGGCCACATGTTCGACCTCCTGACTGGCCCCATGTTCGACCTCCTGACTGGCCCCATGTTCAACCTCCTGACTGGCCTGTTCAACCTCCTAACTGACCACAAGTTCAACCTCCTGACTGGCCCCATGTTCAACCTCCTGACTGGCCACATGTTCGACCTCCTGACTCGCCCCATGTTCGACCTCCTGACTGGCCCCATGTTCGACCTCCTGACTGGCCCCATGTTCATCCTCCTGACTGTCCCCATGTTCAACCTCCTGACTGGCCCTATGTTCAATCTCCTGACTGACCCCATGTTCAACCTCGTGACTGGCCCCATGTTCAACCTCCTGACTGACCCCATATTCAACCTCCTGACTGGCCCCATGTTCAACCTCCTGACTGGCCCCATGTTCAACCTCCTGACTGGCCCCATGTTCAACCTCCTGACTGGCCCCATGTTCAACCTCCTGACCTGCCACATGTTCATCTTCCTGACTGGCCCCATGTTCGACCTCCTGACTGGCCCCATGTTCGACCTCCTGACTGGCCCCATGTTCAACCTCCTGACTGGCCCCAAGTTCAACCTCCTGACTGGCCCAATGTTCAATCTCCTGACTGGCCCCATGTTCATCTTCCTGACTGGCCCCATGTTCGACCTCCTGACTGGCCCCATGTTCAACCTCCTGACTGGCCACATGTTCAACCTCCTGACTGGCCCCATGTTCGACCTCCTGACTGGCCCCATGTTCAACCTCCTGACTGGCCACATGTTCAACCTCCTGACTGGCCACATGTTCAACCTCCTGACTGGCCCCATGTTCAACCTTCTGACTGGCCCCATGTTCAACCTCCTGACTGGCCCCATGTTCAACCTCCTGACTGACCCCATGTTCAACCTCCTGACTGGCCCCATGTTCAACCTCCTGACTTGCCCCATGTTCAATCTCCTGACTGGCCTGTTCAACCTCCTGACTGACCCCATGTTCAACCTCCTGACTGGCTTGTTCAACCTCCTGACTGGCTTGTTCAACCTCCTGACTGGCCCCATGTTCAACCTCCTGACTGGCCCCATGTTCAACCTCCTGACTGGCCCCATGTTCAACCTTCTGACTGGCCCCATGTTCAACCTCCTGACTGGCCCCATGTTCAACCTCCTGACTGGCCCCATGTTCAATCTCCTGACTGGCCTGTTCAACCTCCTGACTGACCCCATGTTCAACCTCCTGACTGGCTTGTTCAACCTCCTGACTGGCCCCATGTTCAACCTCCTGACTGGCCCCATGTTCAACCTCCTAACTGGCCCCATGTTCAATCTCCTGACTGGCCACATGTTCAACCTCCTGACTGGCCCCATGTTCAACCTCCTGACTGGCCCCATGTTTAACCTCCTGACTGGCTTGTTCAACCTCCTGACTGGCCCCATGTTTAACCTCCTGACTGGCCTGTTCAACCTCCTGACTGGCCCTATGTTCAACCTCCTGACTGGCCCCATGTTCAACCTCCTGACTGGCCCCATGTTCAACCTCCTGACTGGCCCCATGTTTAACCTCCTGACTGGCCTGTTCAACCTCCTGACTGACCATGTTCCCTCTCCACGGAGGCAGAGTGAAGATCGACTATAGAACAAGGCAGTGGACAAGATGTGGAGCAGTGACGTTGTCAACTATGGAGTCAGTAAGGAGATTGACCACGGATCCGGAACACTTGACGGAACATTAAACCAGTGAGATCATGTACTATGCAGTTTCAGGCTTTATTCAATTCAGAGTTAGTCTTGCAAGGACTTGATAACAAATACACGCCCGTCAATCACAATCACAATGAACAGCCTGAATGGATTCCATCTTCTCACTCCGCCCAGTACTCCTGTGGCATGTGATAGATATACATTTCCAGGACACTAAATGTACTCCAACATAGTCGATATGTAAATGTTTATATGTGTTAAATACTATCGTGTTGGGTGACGACAGGGAACATTACCTAAACGCGAGACAAACGTATTCGTCTGAAGTCACTGTTGCAAGCAGCTGGAGAAGCGCAAGAACATGCGTCCAAAGTACGTACCGACTATTAATGTTTTGGGGGAGTTTTGTTGGGATGGAGGTAGGGCTTGGGTTTGGTGTGTGTGTGTGTTTTGTAGGGGTGGAGGTAGGGGTGAGGTTTGGTGTGTGTGTGTGTTTTGTTGGGCAGGAGGTAGGGGACAGGTTTGGTGTGTGTGTTTTTTTGTGGGGGTGGAGGTAGGGGTGGGGTTTGGGGTGTGTGTGTTTTGTGGGGGTGGAGGCAGGGGTGAGGTTTGGTGTGTGTTTTGTGCGGGTGAGGTTTGGTGTGTGTTTTGTGGGGGTGGAGGCAGGGGTGAGGTTTGGTGTGTGTTTTGTGGGGGTGAAGTTTGGTGTGTGTTTTGTGGGGGTAGAGGTAGGGGTGAGGTTTGGTGTGTGTGTTTTTTTGTGGGGGTTGAGGCAGGGGTGGAGTTTGGGGTGTGTGTGTTTTGTGGGGGTGGAGGCAGGGGTGAGGTTTGGTGTGTGTTTTGTGGGGGTGGAGGTAGGGGTGAGGTTTGGTGTGTGTTTTGTGGGGGTGGAGGTAGGGGTATGGTTTGGGTGTGTGTGTGTTTTGACGGGGTGGAGGTAGGGGTGGGGTTTGGGGTGTGTGTGTTTTGTGGGGGCGGAGGTAGGGGACAGGTTTGGTGTGTGTGTGTTTTGTGGGGGTGGAGGTAGGGGTTGGGTTTGGGGTGTGTGTGTTTTGTGGGGGTTAAGGTAGGGGTGAGGTTTGGTGTGTGTGTGTGTTTTGTGGGGGTTAAGGTAGGGGTGAGGTTTAGTGTGTGTCTGGTTTGTGGGGGCGGAGGTAGGGGTGAGGTTTAGTGTGTATTTTGTGGGGGTGGAGGTGGGAGTATGATTTGGGGTGTGTGTGTAGGTTGCTGAAGACCTATTCTATCCCGGACCTTCAAGGGTCACAGGTTCATTGTGCAGCATGTACGTGAGCACCATATAGGAAATAGTGTATTTTTGTGTCAAAATACTTTCATGAAACATGTTTGGCACCCTGTCTTGATTCTGTGTATTTGTCGCTCTCGTGGTGACATTAAGTGGTTGATAAAAATTCGGTTTTCGTGTGTGATGTTGACAATTTATGCGGTGAGTGAGAGAGTTAGAAACATAATCCCTAGAAACCGGGATTCGAACCCACAACCAAAGGTTTCTGGCGTCCCCAAGGGACGCAACTCTGCACAGCGATTCGCCGCGCCTTAGACGACTGGGCCACCCGTGCCCCCTGACATTTGTATGCACTGAATTTTCATGAAACGTTTTGGACTGTGGAGATATTATTTCAATTCAGATTTGTTATGACTCCCCTAAAGAGCGACAAAAGACAGCAAAGCTTAACTTACATGCATCGTTTGTAATAGCGACAATCTTTACATGAATTTTTCAAAACTCTTATCTAAAAGACCAGATCGGCTTTACTCCAAACCGGGAGATTTTACATTTAGCATAAGATGTAAAAACAACACAAGCCCCAAAATAATACACACTGGACATATTTATTGATTTCAGTAAAGCATTTAATATAATATAAAAAACCAAAGCCTTTATAGACGTATACTAAATTTTATTCACTCATTCCTAACAGACAGAAATATAACAGTAACGTCAAACACCATCCTATCGCACACCTATATATGACACCCCACAAAAAAGTACACTGTCGCCGTCACTTTTTTAACTTCATGATCGACAAATCCAGTAGAAAGTGAAATTCAACATTCGTCGTCAAACTGTGGATTCAAAATTAACATTGGCTTACGATTAAAAAAACCCATCTATGCCAAATTCAACACCCAAACTTCACTTCAACAATAAAAAAAATACATTTTTAAAAAGAAGCAAAATATCTATGGGTAACTTTTGACCAACACCTAAACATGGACACACCACATTCTAACCTATTCAATTTCTGTCAAAACGACATAAACCCAATGAGAGTCATCAACGGCACTAACTGGGTGCTGGCAAACAATACTTCGAAACATATATAAACACCTCATACAAGCCAAATTGGAAAACGCTGCTCCCGTTCTTGACAAACTATCAGTCATAAAGACCAATAAATTAAATTCTATTCAATACAATAACCTAAACATAGCCCTGGGTACAAAAAGGTATTATTACTTTCAGGTTCCACAAATAACAAAAAAAATATCAAATCATAATTAAAGCAACACTTAAAATGATTTAAAAAATCCAAACTAAAAAATCAACCACATCACTAAACTGCATCAAACAAAACTGACCACGCCACACACACGTAAGCACAGATGCATCCCAAAACAATACATCCGTCATAGGTATCCATGTACATGTATCCCGAAGTTTTACCTAAATCAATTACCACTGATTATCATCACGAAACTTACACCCATTCTAACACAGCAGAACTCTTGGCTTCAGTCTGTCCTACATAAGGCCAAAATTTCAAACCAATAGAAGTTTCTAATTATTTCTATACACTTGGTTCATGCATGTCATCGTATCCCACTTGCGTAGATCGATGCTTATGATGTCAATCACTGGATTGTCTGGTCCAGACACGATTAGTTACAGTCCGCCGTCCTATAGTTTGAATATTGCTGAGTGCGGCGTTAAAAACAAACAAACGAACATTATGCTCGATATAACAAATTGAAAAAAAAGCATTTAAAAAACCCTGGCCTTATCTCATTGATAACATTATCCATTTAAATTCTACACTAAACTCCTTCAATAAATCTGTCACAATTTTATGGACACCTAGAAACCCACGTACCAGGCAATGAAAAAGCGGTCCTGGCAACCAAATGTCTCCTTATGGACCCATTTTGACAAAATATCTTCAAGAATACACAGTGGCATCACTTATCTGAATTCAGTTAGAATTCATTGCAACACTACCTTAAACACATTCGTATACACTGTCTCCAATATAAATTACAAAATATTCTTTTTCAGTCTCTACCTATCCACTATAATAAAACATCTTCCACTCTTATTCAGCCATTTCAATCCTTCAGCAGTCTTGTCGGCAATATATAGAGATTACTACACGAGTGTCTATCAGATACCTTCATTTATCATATAACGGGTAGGTTTCTCGGCAGGATAAAGCCAACGGATAAAAACGATATCCGTTGGGGTCATATGCGGATAGAGATACAAATATCAAAGGTCAAGTAGGGACTACTTTCACTGTTTATAAACAAACATGGCGTCGCCCTCGTCATTCGGGGATCGAGTCAGAATTAACCATCGGGAATCTGGATAAACTACAGGGATAATTGCTATCATTATCAAAAGAACAGTCTAATATACTGAAAATCAGTGTCTAGCTGTGACGTAGATAAGGCATTTTATAAGTTTGGGCAACTTTGGAGATATAAATTTCGAAACAAATTTGCGAGGGCACGAGGCCTAGCCAAGCGGGATCAGTAGCCATATCTGTGCTTGTAGACCTCTGCGGCTTGAAACCTTCACCACAAATTAAAAAAGTTGGATTTGGCCGAAATATATGTGAATTGTTACCTTGTTGCGTTTTGTCGCTGTGTGTACATCTGACTACACTTCTTAACGTTATGACAGGACAGACCGACTGTCAACAAGGTCTGACCGTGGCCGTGACGTCTCAGAGACTAGGGTTAGAGTAGCTTCCCTTTGACAAAGGGCAGTTACTCTAGCGAACAGACCGATGGATTGCCGCAAAAGGCAATTAAAAACAATTGTTGTTTTGCGTTTATGTTGCTTCGCCACTGTATAAGAAATAGATTTCAGTTGGAACTATATTGGCTACTGTCACTGTCCGACTGACACGTCACTTACCCTCTGACGTAATAAATATTAATGCGCGCATTGCAGGAAAACTCGCAATGTTTCGGTTATGTTTGTGAGAGAGGGAAAGCGATTTTTAAGCACAGAATTAAAGAATGACATTATATGATAAAGAGGTTATCACGCTTGTGTGTTTGGGGATGGTAAATATCCTGTATTAGGAATAAACACTATGTATTTAGCTCGCCAAGGCTCGCTAAATACAATGTTTATTCCTAATGCAGGATATTTACCATCCCCAAACACACTCGCGTGATAACCTCTATTGATCTTACAACGAGTTGTTTCAAAACGTTTCTAAAGAGCGAAAGCGAGTTAGATACGCTTTGTAACAACGAGTTGTAAGATCAATGGTATCTGACAGGCACGAGTGCAGTAATCTGTTTCTTACACACCCTAAAATCACACCTTTTTAGCATCAAACCGATGCATTTTGTCTATTCTCATGATCGCAGTGGCGCATTAATATATAACACCATTGTCATAAGTGACGTCGTTCCATGTACTGCTTACTACTCATAAATAATGTGACCCTACACAAAAAGGTTTCCGCCATGTCTGTGGATTATCAAGGCGACGATGATAATGCAAACAAGACAAAAACAAAGAACACGCTGGATGCCGAATTAAAAGTTTACACCTCAAAGAAATTACCAAATATGTACAACAATGTTTACTTCCGTATGACATCACTACCGGTGACCGACTTTTGCAAAATGGCGTGTACACTGACAACAGTACGCGGGATTTCCAGAGGAGGATTTTCGTTGATTGAGGGATCGTATATACATTAATGTGTCACGTAAGTAATCAGAAACATTCTGACAATCTGCGTACTGTTATTTGTTTACCATTTTTTTCCAATGTAACAAAGAGAATTAGTCAGAAATGCAGATAACTACCGTCGTCGTTGTGCGTGATTTAGCGTCAGTCATGGCGTCACACTTGTACGGTTTCTATTGAATTTACCACATCATTGTAATGTTTATATTTGGAATTCCATTATTAGTGCAACGATACTCTTCCCATTAATATTCTCAAACGCGTGATCGAGTCAATGCATGCAACAATTAGACGAAAGTACCCCTAAACATGCAACGCAGTGTAAAATCTGAATATTTTGCTTTGTTTACATTTCAGCAAGTACAGTTTTCCGAACACAGTGTTAGTTTCCACACCTAATTTATTTCGCATGATTTCATCT